TCGCCGAAGCGGCTCGTGCAATTTCAGCTTTTTGAAAAACTCAGTCGTGCAAATTAATTCCAAATTGAACTCGAAACCGTATGATTACCTATACAAATGGCCTGAAGGGAAATGAAAATTACTTTGAGTTAGCGGGGGGTTCGAGTTATCGGGAGTCAACTGTACCTCTTTTATCCTTCTGTGGAAGTGCGAAATTATCTATTGTTAATTATTCTTGATTTTCAGTCCAGTAGAAAGTCTTGCCATTCAGTGTAAATGTCGCTGCCAAAATTTTGGAGTTACTTTCATAGTTGAATTTCATGTTACCTTCTTGTTCATTGTTTGGTCTTGAAAAGATTTAATCTTCTTGCGCTCATCAATTCTTTTTCTTGCAACTTTACGCCATTCTACAAGCGATCTGAACGATAGAATGCAACATTACGATCAGTAAAGCACTTTAATAAAATACTGTACAAAGTGATTCCTTGCTAAGTAGCTAAGAAGTTTTATTTATCTTCTGTAACATCAGTTGCAAGTCCTTCAACTCCCTTGGGAAAACTAAAAACAAAATAGCCGCCTTTGGATTTTAGAATCAAGTGTATTCACACTGGTAAAAGAATGCATGTTTTACGCGAGACAGTATTATTAGCTATTATTCAACATGTAAGAGCAAGACTCAAAGCCAAGTAAGTTGTAACTTCAATACATATCAGGGGCGGATATCGGGGGAGGGTGTAGGGGGAGCGCACCCCTCCCCCCCACATGAGATGAAGCCTTCTTCTTCGCATTCGCTTTTAAAATTTGTTTACCTCACCAGTCAGTTATGCAATTCCTCTGAGTGGTGCACCCCCTCCTGAGAAAAATCCTGGATCCGCCCCCGTATATACGCTTCAAAATCGCAACGAAATTGTGTTACGAGGATTTATAGACGACCTAACAGAACAGTTAGAATCGTATCTAACCTCTTCAGAAGTGTTTGGTTGTGCAGCTCTTTCGCTCTTTGCATCTGTCGAGTTTTCTCTGTCCATTGCTTAAAGTAAGAATGCAGCAGGCGTCGGCCATGTTGTGTTTGCAGATCATCCGCCATTACAGCTTGTTTCTTCACCTCTGTGAACGAAAACCTCCGGTCAAGTAGGACTGCAAAACTAAATATTCAAGTTTGGCAAGATAAGATGGTTGAGAAAACTGCATATCGTTTACTTACTAAATGTCCACTGTTTCCAATGGAGACCAGCTTCACGAGTTCTTCTGACCAAGATTTTCTGTGGATGTAAAAATACTGGATTAAGTTTAGCGCCAAAGACGGGATTTCTATGCAACAGACTCCTCAGTGGTAAATCTAACGTCGTCACGATTCATGACCTTTATAAACCTAGAACTTGGTCACCAACTTTGCTGTCTAGCATACAGAGAACGGCAAAGCTCCGATAAAGAAGCGATTCGCTTACAACTGAACGCAAAAACATTACGCTCTAAGGCTCCGTCCATACTTCACAGGAGGAATTTCATTCTGAAAACGCATCAAATGTTTTCCGTCCACACTACGTCGGAGGAATTTGAAAACGCAGCAATCACCGGTCATTTATAATTTGTGTTTGAGGAAAACTCGGGCAGAGAAAAAACATAATTATCAAGACCACATCGTTTTCGAAAAGCTCCGCTTTCAAAATGTTTTCAGTCCAAAAGGAAACGAAAAGCCGGCGTTTTCAAATTCCTCCGGTTTGAAAAGCGTCTTAGAGAAGCTCCGTTTTCGGGACAGATTAGCGTGGACGGTAGGCCTAACCGTAGAAATAAAGCTGCGTTTTCAAATTCCTCCGGTTTGAAGAGCGTTTAAGAAAAGCTCCGTTTTCGTGGCAGATTAGCGTGGACGGTAGGCCTAACCGTACAAATAAAGCTGCGTTTTCAAATTCCTCCGGTTTGAAGAGCGTTTTAGAAAAGCTCCGTTTTCGCGACAGACTAGTGTGGACGGTAGGCCTAACCGTACAAATAAAGCTGCGTTTCCAAATTTCTCCAGCGTAGTGTGGACGCTGCCTAAACGTTTTTTTTAAACATGTTTAGCGACGATCTCGTCAACATTGCCGTGGTCTCCTATTCGTTTATTGATATTAAAGCCTCGGTTACAACAGCAGTAACATTAAACAGGAATACCTCTTGAATTTTCTCAGATCCTTTCTTGGTGTACAGTGCAAACCACCATTTTGCGAAACACTAATAAGAAGAGGAAAACAAATACTGAATTACAGCGGTTTTCAATTGAGTGTCGTAAAACCAAAACCAATCCAATTACTTACCCGTTAGGCTACTCAGCCAATCTCAAACCGTAGTTAAACCAAAACCAAAACCAAAGTAATTGCCTGATTACTAAAACGATGCTACAACGTTTAGCGAATTTTAACGCGATGAATTTAACTACTCATTAGGAGTTTAAACCTCGATTTCCCGCTAGGAATCCTTTCTGTCAATATACTGCGCTTCAAATCATTACTGAGCAATTTTACCTTCTGCACAAGTTTCTTCTGGTAGGATTTCTGCGCCTTGCATCGCAGCATGAACTTCACCCACTTCACAAGGCAATAATGTAACAATTCAGAATCTTTCTTTTGCAGATGTTCTTCCAGAAGTTCTTGGTTTCTCATATTTCGCTGGTATCGCTCCTTCCAAGTTTGGAAAGAGTTGGACACCTGAGAGGAAAACATGGACAACACACTAATTATCTATGAGAGCTGGTTTTGCTTGTGCGTATTTTGCGGCTACGAAAACTAGATCCAATCTAGGAATATTTGGTAAACGATCTTTGATTGGTGAAGTTAATTAGCCAATGAAATGTTCTGTTTATTTAACCGCTAAACCATTGCTTTATTCTTTATTAATTTAGGACTAATAAACTGGTTTTCAACCCAGTGTCGTAAAACCAAAAGCAAATCCATTACTTGTCAATTACACTACTCAGCCAATCCCAAACCGTGGTAAAACCAAAACCAAAACCAAAGTAATTGGCCAGTTACTCTCAACACTCAATTGAAAACTGCTCTAACACAAATATTGATGAATGGCCGATCTCGAGTATACTACATTGGGTCGACGGACTCTCAAGGAAATTAACACTAGCAATGCAGAAGTGAATGGAGTAAATAATAAAACAAAACAAAAACAAAAACAAAACAAGTGAATTAAGGGTTCCTAGCAAAAATAGTAAAACATTTTTCCATCGCCATTCAAAAAGGAACACCACATGTGTAAGTAAAACTTTGTTTCCGTCTTCTGGTCAATGAAACACTTGCTGAGGTTACAAACTTCGGAAAGTGCTTCTTCCCATCGAAAATTTCCGAGAATCCACGAGTATTTGTCGAACACCATATTCTATGTATCTCTGGGCTAAGTACCTACCAGTTCGTGTGATTTCGTTTGCTGTATTTCTTGCAAGACTTTCCGTTTCTCTGTATGAGATTGCACATACTCGTGCAATCCTAACAACGTGCTATGAGAAAAAAAAAACATAAAGGTAAAAACAGGTACATCAAATACTCAACTTTTATAGAGCCAATTCTCAGTCGATCTGAGAAATATAACATATTTGGGGATTTTAAGGAACGTTACCCAAGAGGAATACTGTTTTTGCACGATCCTGTTTTATCCCCTCCTACTATAAACACATTCCTCCGTAGGAAAAAAGATGGCGACTGGTACATTTACCCATAGTTCTTAGCGCATGAAATTCTTAACAACGTTTATAAAAACGTGCAGAAACGTTATAAAATCTTCAAACCTACGCTACTCAATGTCCTCAGTACAGGGACAAATATCGTAAAAATTTGGCTTTCTTTGTGCCTTTTAGGCTGTGTTAGGTTCGCAAGGCAATGTGGTAAAATGTACAGCCTCACAGTCTTACACGTTTAGATATTTATATTTTGTCTTTCTGTACCTTCTCATCACTTTTTCTCGTGCATAATTCTTGGCTTTCTGTACTTTGTGTGTCTCTTGTACCCAGTAATCAAACATGCGTCGTAACAGCTTCTTCTCAGAATCCTCGGCGATGTGCATGGCTCTCGTGTTCAACACCTTAGCTTCTGTAATCAGAAACGCACAGAGAAAGAATAAGTTTAAGGTCCCGGCCACACTAATGCGTTTTCGTATGGAAACGCATACTTTAAGATGCGTTTTCGTCTATTGTCCACACTAAAGACCGAAAACGCTGATGAAAACGGAGACTTTTGAAAACGGTGCCGAAAAAAGCGTCATATACTCTGGTTTCCATCAGCGTTTTCGGGCGTTTTAGTGTGGAAGATCGATAGGTGAAAATGTATCAAAAACTATGTGTTTTCGAATGGAAACGAATTGGTGTGGACAGCTGAAAACAAAACGAAAACGCTAGCGTGGGCGAAAATATTTTGCTTCGTAAACAGACACTTTCAAAAACGCATTAGTGTGGTCGGGACTTAAAAGAAACGTTTCTGCTTTATTTTACATTTATGAGCCTACGTCATCAAAATGAAATGTCCCAATACAATATCAAAACATTACTACACAGGCAGGTGATGAAATGCTGGAAATACTGTCTTGATGTATCGCCAAATTCTCAACACTACTGTTAATAGAAACGCTTTGGTATTGGGTATGTAGAATTAACGTTTCGATCTTAGGTCTAACGGGGCATCTATTCTTTAAGAACAACTCAGAGATTGTTCAGTAGCTCCAAAGATATATAAACTAAATGAGGCTGACGGCTTTTTAACCAGTCAAATAGAAACTGGTTTGCTAAGCGTTTCGGGTTTTGGAACTGAGAAGGGCCAAGCCTGAAACGCCTAGCGAAACAGCTAATATTTGACACTTTAAAAAGCTTTCAACCTCAAATTTAGTTCATCGTCATAGTGTCACGCATCATAAGAGTATTTAGACTGCGAACAGTTTTCCTTTTGTTGGAAAATCCGTCGGGAAGAACGCAACACAAGAGAGCGGTCGTGAACGTGCTTGAAATGCGAAGCCGCGAACCGCCTTCAGTTGTGCTGCGTTCTTCTTTGCAGTCTCCTCCACGGATTTTCGAGTAAAAGAGAGACTGCTCGCAGGTTTTTGCTCATTTCTACTGATTTCTAAAGATATATGTCGTATATAGCCTCGAGCAGAAGAGGAAACGAGAAAAATATAACGCTTATCCAAAGTTAACAATGATTTAAAAACAAAATCACAATTTTCGCTGTACCTTCTGTTATGCTCTTCCAAGTGTAGATAAGACGGCGGGTCTGAGAGAAAATAACAAGAATGTAAAACGTTATGTTTAAATGTGAAGTCCCTTTTAAACAAAGTGCTTTTAAAGTAAAGCCTGCTGGAAGTTGGCCATTCAATTCTTCCTCTCAAATGGGAAACATTTTCAAATTCTCCTTCTGTTTGGAACATCTTGGGCTCACGTTCTCGACTAAATGAAAACCAGCCACTGCTTGGGTGATTTTCCAGTCAAAACACGACATTTTGTTTTCTGTTTGGCATTCAGAGTGACAAATTCAGAATTAAAATGCAAGACAGTGTAATGACTTACAGTTTTTCGTGAGGTGTATTCGTCGTACCAACTCAAGAACATCTGAAAGACAAAACACCCGCAGATATTAACCAAACAACTAAGTTTACAGGCTGGAGGTCTTACAGGCGCTCTTACGTAAAGGTGCTACACAATGCTATGATTCATTTGTTGTTGCCTGCGAAGAAAGCAGAAGGTCATTTAGCCTTTCATAAAACTGTTTTCCAGCGCACTGTGGAAGCGTTTCACTAAGCAGACCATGTTGAATACGTGGTGCAATGTTAGTGGAAATCTCTCCTTCGCAATCTCGTCACGTTGCACTATCACGTAGGCCTTGCTGGGAAGTGAAGATATTTTAATTTCTTAGCCGCAGCGTAAAACTGAATGTTTCCATCAAAAACCCACCAAGTACTCCTGAAAGAGTGTTCGGACCGCACAAAGAACAACAGTTAAAATTACGACCAGCTGACAAGGATTTTCATAACAATTCAGTTGGTTCAAAATTAATTATAACACGAAACTGGCTAAAACCAATATTGCTTTATAGACAGTTTAGACATCTACATCTACATTTATTGAGTCAGCTTAAAATATATACAGTTATTAGGCTAACTTTAACATAAGAAAAATCAGAAAAATGCACCAGAAAAAATCTCCTTAAATTTTGCCTTTCACGAATATGTCTCTTAAAAATCCATTCGAAGAGACAATATTACATCGAAAGTCTCCACGGAAGAAACTCGTTTCCATTAACGTTTTAAGAGGCGTAGAGCAAACAAATTTAAGAGGAATTCATTAAATTTGCTCCGCGTGTCGAAGATTTTAATGAAAACTGGCAAAAACCCACTTTTGGTAATTAATTACGATCAACCCGCCACATTTTCTGTTTGAATAACCATGTTATATAATTTTTTTTCACCTATTGAGAAAAAATATCAGTTATCTCTCACGATTTTACGTACAAACAAGAAAACAACAAGAAGAATTAATACAGAATAAAAGAATTCTTTTCAATCTATCCAAACCAGATAGTTCACTATTAACACTGCCTCCCATAAATGATTTCAGGAAAATGATTCAAAGCTTTATTATTTGTATAAAAATGGAATCTTCAAAGGTAAAAGGCAGCCCTTCAAACAAGACCATTAGGGAAATGGCCACATTTTACTCAAGCCATAAAGCACCAACGTTCATGAATAAATCCTCCTCATTGGATTCCGTTTCACAGCACCAGTTGAGAGAGTACAGTTACATTACTTTTAATTTCGGACGGTTTTTAAGCGTCCGAAATATTTACAGTACAGTATAAAACTTTTAAGTAGCTCCAAAGCTCTTAGCTTCCTTTATGAGGCAAACTCTATTTGAGACACTGCTTGAAATATGTAACGGCTTGTTGGTGTATTTGAAAAAACCTCGAGGGTCAGTAAAACTATCATTTTCACAGATGTTTCTTTTTTCAGTCTAAGTCATATTTTGTAGGCGTAGACTTACTTTAGCTATGTTTCAGCAAAGTGTCCGAAATTTTTGTCCGAAATGAGATAAAAAATTCCGAAAATTAAACGGCCGAAATAAAACGTCCGAAATTTTAAAGTCCGAGAGTATTTGGAAGTAACTTATGTCAACAGACAAGGATTGTATAAGAGAGGAAAGCCCTACAGTTATTGCGTCGTTTCGTACCTTCTTTTGCATCGCCATGACGTAATACTTGTCAGCCCTGATTTCCAACGTAAAATCTCTCCACTCCTCAAAACATTCCCGTAATACATTGTGGTCGCGCTGCTGACTGTGAACCCGCGATAACTCGGAATGTGCCAGCAGCTGCTGCCAAAAACGGAAGTTTCGAGCAAGCTAAGAAAACAAAAGAAGCAAGTGATTTATGACTCAATCGGTAAATCGGTCAATCAATCAATCAATCAATTAGACAATCAATCATTTCTGTACCAAGTTTGCAGCACAGTTGTTCCTGAATGCGTGCATTGCCCGCCTGTTTCTTGATCTTTCGAGAGCTACATCTTTCCAACCAACAAACACACTGAAAATACAACCGAAAATAGAAACACTCAGCTTTACAATTCAACGACAACCTCACAAATACAAGGTAATTCAGATATCCTATCTTCTTACCTTTTCAATATATGCATCTCGTGCGTTCTCTTGGCTAACTGCAGCTGCTGAGCTCGGCTTAACCACTCGGTAAAAATCTCTCTTGTAATCTTCAGTTCCACAGAGTGACGGAACAGACGAGCTTGCTTCCTTCGAGTGTTCATGCCTTACACACAGAAGAAAACAACAACAAACAAGAAAAAACAGTCATACCCTGAAACCTTCGGTGAACGACCATCTATTTCTTCAAGTAAAGATGACAGTTTATGAAGGATATAACTTAACACAATACCCCCACCCTTCATGTTCCCCGTCCCCCTTTCCCTTCGGGCTTTCCCCTCCCTCCCTCCCTCCCTCCCTCCCTCCCACCAGCCTTTCTCTTAATCTATCCTCGACTAGAGGTACCTCGTTTTGTTGCCAAGCGCGTCAACTAATACTCTACTACATCTGCAATTTGTAAGTCTCACCAAAGATACCATTTTGCAACAAATCACTTACCACTCGCCCAGCTGTGCCACACTTGGAGAATTTCTAACAGTCGACCAGCTTCTTTAATCTACAACGACAAACGCAACTCGTTAATACTGTTCGGCATCGCTTCTTATCTAGACCATTGCGTTTTCTTCATTAAGAAACATCAAACCAATTTCATTACAGCAAATTAAAGGATCAAGTTCTACTGACCTCGATAAACTCATCCACTCGGCTGACGGCTTGAAATCTTTCTTGCCATTCTCTAAACGCCTTAGAAAAAAAAGACATGCGGCCATTATTAGACTCATATAACAAAAAGTGAAAGCTAATGAAAGCCTGACGGGTTCAGATATCTATAGCTCAACTTCTACTTGGTAGAGAGGAAACCCCGGGAAGCAGCATTGGCAGCAACGTTCATTCGATGTTCTGTTTGCCAAGCCATCCTTTACCGTCTTTACGCAATTAAGTGCTGGGTCAACGGTCTCAAGCCTTCTTAACAACAGTACCCGAGCTACATTCTTTAGTAAGAATGCTTTGCTGGGTGCGATAACTTTCTACCCCACACAGCCTGGAAACAAAAACCTAATCTCGTCCCTAGAAGCTACTGTCTAAAACACTCCAAAAAATATTTAATAATCTAATTTAAATAAATTCAAGCTGCAGCGTAAATATCACAATAGTCCACAATCCTACTTACCATGGTCAGAAGTCGTCTTTCTTCAAATAGAACAACTTTTCTTCTGTTAGAGACCCGAGTGGAGGCGAGAACATGCCATGCTACAAAACACCTGAAACGACATACAAAAAAATAATGGATTTAGTTATCACGTAAACTGAGAGAACGTTTCAGGCAAGGAAACGAGCCTGGAAACAGACTGATCCCTCAGTATTAACGACAGGATGAAGTGGACACCGTCAGTATGTTCACACAAAGCAATTTCGTTGATTAGCTGACATGGGGTGTTTTTCCGAAGCTTTACCGAAACGGCATTTTGCTATGATATCCAAGCAGTTCGGATGAGAAAATAATTAACACAAAACGACCGAAGTAAATTAGAAGAACCTTGCGAATGCACGGTAGGAGTGACGGACATTTTTGTGGGAAAAAAGGATACGGACTAAGACCTCTTACGAGTGTGAGAGGAGTAAAGAATTTAGCACCCACAGAGGCGTCTGTTCACTCGACAACGAAGTGAACCTACTTTGGCAGAAGCCGCTCTGTGTACAGTCTCTTGGCTTCTTGGCTCTTCCTGGTCATCTGTACCCAGTAAGTGAAGGTCTGTCGCACAAATCTGGCATGCTGCTTCTTCTGCATAACTTGAGTAGAGCTTTTGTCTTTCTCACTCACTGCAAGTAAGGGTAAAGCTTGTTTTAGTTAATTTTTTGGGCAAACCTACTTGATATAAGATCTCCTTTTATTCTCAGGCATTCAGACAGTCAGCAAGAAACATGTGCATTCTATTCCAAATTTCCGCTGCAAAAAAAGAAAAAGAAAGAAAAAAAAAAAGGCTGACGCCTTGGACAAAACTACGCTGATGAAAGCTCCTTCCAAAGCTGTCAGACTGTATATAACGTGATCGTCGAGACAAGAGTAGTCTTGAAAACAGAGAAAGAAAAGACATAAAGGAGAAAAAAGCGAGTAGTCCTGTTGGTACCTGATACTTTGCAAACCTTAGCGGAGCCTTCTCCATTCTCAGCTGCAAATTAATTTGTTTGACACTCACCAATAGCCTTCTTTTGCCACTGTCCAATTAGGTCTTGTAGTTTCCTCTTAGCAGAGCACTAGAAACAAATGAACTACAGTTAGATGACAGCTTACTCTTGCCAAATAGTTGCAAAACCATTGCTGGACTACACACGTACAACACATCACGTACCCTTTTATTCCACTTCTGAAAGCTTCCTTTGAGCCTTGTGAGCCTACGGTGTCCATCAGCCAGCAGTTTCCTCTCCTCCTGGATCCTCTTTGTGACCGTGTACTCGTACCAGGTCCTTAGGCATTTTAGACGAGACGTGTGAAGCTGGTGAAGGAAAAAAGGTTTACTATTCTGTGATTATTTTAGCAAAATACGCTTATTTCTAGCGTTCCATTTTAACTAGGAGAGAGTAGTGAGGAGCAGAGTTGGCCCAGTGGTGAGATCGGGCTCGATTCTGGCCCGCTGCCATACGAGGGTTGGATTTGTTGTTGGTTCTCGCCTTGCTCCGAGGCTTTTTTCTCCGAGGCTTTTTTCCTCCAGGTTCTCCGGCTTTCCTCTTTCCTGAGAAACCAACACTTCCAAATTCCGATTTGAGCACGATAGAGGATCCGCATGGAAACCAGCTACGTCCGATGTGGCTTCCTCTCTAAATATTATAATTTTTAATTTAGTTTTTCTGTGATTGTTTTGGCAAAATACGTTTATTTCTAGCGTCCCATTTTAACCGGGAGAGGGTAGAGTAGTGTGGAAAATAGTATCCGCAAACTTTCCATTTGATTTGCAACCGAAGGTTTTTATGAAGTCTCGACTGTAAAAAAACTAAAACAATGAACACTGAAGAACTAACCCAGTGTTGCCTCGCGGTGACCTTCGTGTGAAGCTCTCTCCTCCATGTGGCTAAAGTGTTGACCATTAGTTCCATAGTCTTCTTGTTTGTGATGTAATTCAGCAGTTCCCTTTGAACTTTTCTCTGCCGCGTGAACTTCAGCCATGTTCTGAACGTCAGGCTAAGAGGCAGATTCCTCCAGTGAAGGATGGTCTCTGTCGCCATCAGCTCCCGGTCTCTCACTTCGCTCTGAGTACTGCGGCCGGTGAACGAGGTGCACGAGGCAGTGCTCATTCGATCATCCTAAAAACAGGTTTACCGAAAACGTAAACTGCACCACAATAAAAACATCTCTCTTAAACACTCAGGTATTATTCAATAAAAAAAACCTTAAAGGAGCTACGTCACGGTTTGCGCATCTTGATACGCTTAACCTAAATTTTTCAATTTTGTCGTTTGTAATCCGTGTTAATCTTCTCCATCCCTAACCATCCTTGTTCCTTGATGATTTATTGTTATCTCTTTTGTGTTTTTCTATCTTATTAAACTATCATTTTTACGTTTCCTTCCATTTCAAGGTAATTTTCTACATGGCCGAAATAACACAAATTACCGTAACTGTGCTCCTTTAAAACAATAGCACGCATGCATAACTGTTTATTTTCCTTCAAAAGCCCTCGTTTACCAACACAGCAGGCGCCTCACTAAACCCTACATGTACCTACATGACCGGCAACTCGTTAAAACAGTTCTGGACTAATTACTTCAGTGGTTAACACTTCATGACTTGATGTTTCAAATATGGCAGCAAAAAGGAACATTTACTAAAACTTACGACAATATGTGTAACCCCGACCTCCCCACTCTCTATCTCTCTCATGTAACTCTCCCCTTACCTCATGATCAGATTCGCTGCTCCCAGAGTGAATCCCAGTATCATCTTCTGACTTCACAGGCGAGAAGTCTTCCAGCCTGATAGGAGGAGTTGACGGCGGGTGATGTTCAGGACTCGGGTACGGGGTGGTGGCAGGGCTGGAATGGTTTGAATTAAACACTAAGGGGGAGACGGGATGGGCGTCTCTCAGGATAGATATGGGAGAAATCGCTCGGATATTGGGACTCTCTGGCCTTTGCAGGTGATCTATTTGATCAAATCGTCCTGGCAACGAAGCGATCTGTAAACAAAAACACAAGAAAGAAATAGCGAGCAGTACTTTCATGTGGTACTGTTTATTACGCTGTACAAGGTGGCTCAAATTTTTAAGTCTGTGAATCAAACCCTCAGTATGTGACCATTCAACTGAAAGCTATTAAACAGCACTTTATATGTACTGCATATTATGCTTTACAAGGTGGTTTAAAGTCTATGGTTAAAACCCTAAAAGCGTGTGACAATTCATATGAAAGCTACTGAACAGTACTTTCATGTGGTACTGTTTATTATGCTGTAAAAGGTGGTTATATCTTGAAAGACTGTTAGTGAAACCCGAGAGTGTGACCATAAGAAGGCTTTAGAGCAATACTTTGATGTGAAACTATGTATCAAGCTACTCAAAGTGATTCTAACTTTAACCCTGAGTGCTGCACTTACGTCATCATCTCTCTCTTTGAGTGGCAGCCCAAACGTAAACACACTGCCCGACCCTCTCCTGATGGAGGCTCCATACCCAGACGAAGCCAGCGCGTCCGACAGGGTGGAGCCAAGGGTGGAGCCCATAGTCGAGCCCAAGGTATTGCGAAAAGGAGAGAAAGACCCAAAGGATGAATCCAGGCCGGACAGGGAGGTAGCAAACTGCTGCATCTCACGCTGGATGGTGTCTTTGATGAACCTCTGCCACGCTTGAAATATCTTCCGCAGAAAGCCTTCTTTCCTGGCTAGGGCGTGATTTCTGATTAGAAAAATAATAACAATCATAAACAAAGTGTTCAGAAAACTGTTTCCTTATTCTTTATTTCGTAAGCATTAAATTTCGCGATTATAAGAGATTAGAATTGGAGTGTATTAAATTTTGTGATTTTTTTTTTATTCTTCGATATGTAGGTTTTACCTCAGAACTGTGACAACATAATTATAACATGATGGTCAATTACAAAGAACCAACAGACGGAAAGTTTGACGACTACAAAAGCCAGATTTTGACGAACTTAGCGGCAGGGGACAGTTCGGACAGCGAGTGTGATGCAGTGGATGGACAATATCAAACAAAAAACTCCTAAACATGAAGCTGAGACATGTTGGAATAACAGCAATAACAGGAATAAAAGCAACGGCTTGAATTTCCTTATTTTACTGATAGTATACAGTATTAAATTTCGCGATTTTAATCTTCGCGTGTCCTATATTTTGCGAGTATTATATTTAGCGATTTTTTCCAAATCGCGAAAATCGCGAAATTTAGTCCTCGCCAACTTAAGTGAGACTAAGGTACTTTTGACCCTCCAAGCGTCAATTTTCTCACCTCGCCCACCCCTCCACGCGGTATTTCCTGACCCAAACAGCCCAGGCCTTTCTCGTGATAGACTTCTTGTAGACGTTGTCAGCGGTTTCTTGTTGTTTCAAGCGACACTCCCTCTGATGGTCTGCAGACGTCCGCCAAAACTTGAAAGACCACCTGACCAGCAGCAAACCACGAGCCTACAAATAACACGAAAGAACGGTACAAAAATGGGCGCCCCAATGCAACTAGTTCATGAGCTTATAAGATTTTTTTTTAGTATTGAGAGACACACTCTTAAAAAAACCACTTGAACACTGATTTGAACGCAAGGTCAAAGAAAAGTCAGATAATTGTTTGGTTGTTATGAAAGTGAATTGAATTAGCTCAAGGGTTTTAAAAGAACAGAAAAGGAACATTGAATACCAAGGGCTATTTTTTCATTGTACATGCGACAAGTACGAGTTTTTGGGAAAAAATGGTAGTGGTCTTTTTGGGCAATTTTTAACTGCCACATGATTACCCGTTCAAGAATGACTACAGTGACTTTATGTCATTTCTCAAGTAGAGAATTCCGAGAATAGTCAGACAGATCAGATAAGCACAAAATTTCATGCCGTTTCTAGACATTAAAGAGGTTGACAAAGGCCATTTTACCTCCTTCCCAGTCTCCTCAATTTTCTCCTCGGCCCTGTGTTGAACCTTTTCCTTCCACCTGGAATAAAACTTTTCCATCAGCTCAAATCTTCGTGCTCGCATTTTCAGTTTGTTGAGTCGTTCGTCCTTGACGTGAGCTGAGGAATTCAAAGCACAGACACATCAAACCTTAAACAAAGCCTTAAAACAACCGCAGGTTATAAGACAAGTCCAATCAATTTTACTGAGTAAAATTAATTAAACTTGTCATAATACTCTTTATGAAATTTGTTCGTACTTCTCCAAGCTGTGAACGCTCTTGACAATTTACTTTCCAACAGTGATTCCTTAGCTTGTCTTTCCTTAACACGAAGATATGCTTGATCCCTGTAGTAACAAAATAAAATATCTATCAATCAAAATAAACCAAAAATTAATAAGTGCTGGTTAAGTCGTCGTAGTCTTTATTTAATCTACATGTACTTTATGAACAGTTCCGTCAACAAACTGTCAGACTGTCTTTCTGATTGGCGCATGCTTTGTCAACGATGGTTCAGTGAATTCAGTGGTACATTTACATCGACTATGACCCGTATTTACACCAAACTAGGTGAAAGTGACTTCCCAGTATAATATTTTCCTTTGCAAGAAATTTACCCGGATACTTTGTATTTCCCTCGGTAAAATCTAGAAATGGCTATGCTATTATCTCCATTATTAATGTGGCCAGTCTATTTGACAGCCTAGCCACTGCATCCATGCATATCCAAACCTTACCTCCAAAACAGGAAATGTTTGTCCAGTATTTTCTCAGTCGCTCTTGTCTTTTGATCAATAATATTCTTTTGACGATACACGTGCAATCTCCATGCATCAAACACCCTGAAAGAAGATAATATTACGAGAGCCAAAACCTGGCTTCACCCCTCAGGAAAGCCAGGAAGAGGTTTGTTGGACTTGCGACCAGGTATAAAAATGTAAAGTTATCTCTTGGCCTTTGCCTGCGTAAAAGGAACAGTTTTCTTAAAGTGCTACTATGATCAAAAAAATTAACTTCCCTTTTTCCTTCAGATTTTAAAAGCGTGTTTGTTTGACACCTGATTGGCAAAATCTTGAGCTTCGAATTGTATCCAAAGGCTGTTTTCTTTGAGTGCAAGTTTAGGATTTCACGGCCCGCCATTATACACTTCAAGACTGACCGATTGGACCTCAGAGGGTTGGATCGAGGATAAGATGACGTCAAAGACTCACTAGCTTAAAATTGCAGGGTGTAAACGCGGCTTATTGTACATGCAAAACACGAGTTTAAAAGTCTGAAAGTTCGAAACTCCCGTGCTGCATATTAATTTAGGCGCGTACAGACACATTGCATTTTTTAAACTAGTGAGTCTTTGACGTCATCTTATCGTCGTTCCAGCTCTCTCAAGATTTTAAAGTTAGTAATGGCGGATCATTAATTAGGAAAATTTCAGTCAAATAAACAGGTGTCTTTTTGAAATGAAGGCTTAAAACTTCGGTCACTTAGTGGTTCCGTTACATAGTTTTGAAATACAAAGAAAAAGTAGATTGATTCTTGGTCACAGTAGCACTTTAACTGCTTTTGGCTGAAACGGTTAATAAACAGGGTAACCTAACTGCTTGTCAGTCTGTGAGACGCAAAACAAGTTCAGCCCTCTCTTATCTACCTTTTAAAACCGTAGTAATGCCAGTAAAACACATTCATTATACCTTGCCATTTCTTTTCTTTCTCTTCTGGCCACCATGGGTGAGATGATCTGTTGTTCTTGATTCACAACTCTCCAAGCTTGAAGAACTCGAGCTTTGAAGTTTCGTGTCAAGATGGCCCTTGCTCTAAATGCCTTCTCGTTTTCCGCGTCCACTTTCCGCTTTTGCTGCCTCCATTTCTTGAATATTCCTGATAAAGAAAACATCAATTACGACAATGAAAAAAGAAGAAAGCATTTGAGTTCAAGAAAGTTCAAACTCATTTAAAAATTTGCGCCACGTCAAAAGTAAAATAAAAGGCGAGAAATATTGATTACTTTAAGCAATGTACACTTTCTAAAACCCCTTCTAAAGCTACTTATGTTAAGATAAGCCCGAGACAACAGACGTTAATCACTTGTAATTAATTTCTTGGCCAATCACGTTACGACGGAGTAGTTCGAAAACGGAGGTTTCACTTTGAAAACGCATCAAATATTTTCTGCCACACTACGCCGGAGGAATTTAAAGACGCAACAATCACCGATCATTTTTGACTTGTGCTGGAAGAAAACTCGGTCAAGGAAATTGACCACATGATTATCGCGAGGTCGTTGTTTTCAAAAAGTTTCGTCTTCAAACTATTTTCCGTTCACAAGAAAAAGAAAAGCCGGCGTTTTCAAATTCCTCCGGTTTGAAGAGCGTTTTCGAAAAGCCCCGTTTTCGTGACATATTAGTGTGGACGGCAGGCCTAACTGTAGAAATAAAGCTACTTTTTCAAATTCCTCTGGTGTACTGTGTACGGGACCTTAGTCAAAGTAGTCTCATGCCAATAAATTGGGCGTGCGGTTGTTCGTCTCTTCACTGCCTGAGAAATGTGGAAAACAAACTAAAAGATGGCAAAAACAATCAGAAACTCTAACGACTGCTCAATATTGGTAGTTTTAGAGAGAAAAAATTCTTGTCAAATTCTGTGAGCCTACACACGATGTAGCTTTACAAGAGACAGACACACTCTCCAACTCTACAAAATTACTGTACATTGTTGAATTTAGCTTAGAATAATAACAGCGCAAAATGTTAACTTCCAGTATAAGCCTCACACTTACTCTTCATAGTCAGAAGTTGCCAGATGCTTCGATTATCTATCAACCTCTGCTCCAAGTATTTCCTCTTCAGAAGAATCTTCCACGCTTCACAAGCTTTCCTGTTGACATGTAACATTTGAAATGTGAATAGCTGGCTAACTGACTGGAAGCTGCAACTGAAATAGCTTCTGCATTCTTTATTGAACAGATAATAGAAGCACTTATGTACAAATAAACACTTCGTAAATATTGCTTGTACTTCCTTAAGTCTTAAAGTGCAATGCAGTTTATTGATTGCCAGTACTTTTCCGTCGATCTTCGGTAAGAGCGTTAAGGCTAATTTAAAGCCAACTTTACCGCTCGCTGGTCGACTTTATCCACGAGTAAAACTGACAGGGACTTGTACTGCTTGATTTAAGTACACGAAGAAAAGGTCAGTTGAGGTACTACATGTAATCCTAGACTATCCATCCCATCACCAATTGATGTTTTTCTTTATTTTCATCACCTGTCTGTTTGGCAAAGTATCGATACTCATCTGTAGGGAAATATAAGCTTTTGATAAATCTTGGGAATTAAATAGTAGCTTCTTCAATACCTTATACAGCGTCTTGACCAGTTTATTCTTGCTTTCTTTCTGAAGTTAACAACTTTCATGGCGAACAACCAGCGATCCATCATTTTTCTTGATGCAAGGTGGTTCTTCTTTTGGAGCAGCTGTAGTTCTTTACCCCTGCACGAAAAAAACAAAAAAGTCATCAGCGGCTTGATAATTCTGTACAATCTGACCACTTTGAAATTTTCTGCAATCAAGCAAGAAGTCAAGCTCTCATTTTTTCGCAAAATTCAAAAGAACTTCAAGGGAACCTAAACCTAAACCGGTCTCCAGGCTTCGCATGCTCAATTCTTCCGCGTTCGAGGTAGGCCCGAAACATTCCACGTAACTCTGCAGAGATCAGTGCAGTGACTCTGACTGGGTGTTTCTCCGTTTTTCTCGTGCGAGAAGGATTGAGCAACCGAGGAGACAAGTTTGCCTGGGCTAGATTTTCATCCTCACTATCTTATTTGCCGAGTACCATTTTACGAAAATCAAAGGAGTTGTCGAGTTTCCTAAGAGAAACGATCCTCGTTTACCATAGAACTAGCCTGCAAGCCGACAGAGGAAATAGTAGAAGTCTTTAGTTCTCACAGGCTACACTTAACACAGGTGTCAAGGACCTTCGATGTCTTCCCCTAAAACTGACCTGAGAGCTTTCTTCATCTTCACATGTTGTCTCCAGTTGTTCAACATGGTGCCTGCTAACATGCGCTCCAAAGAGCCAGCAAAGGCTCTTCTTCTTTCCGTCTGCTGTTTTGTGAAGGTTGACCATCTGTTGAAGAAACGACGCTTCTTTCCCTGGAATAAGATTAAAACCCATGACTTTGTAGCAATTTTATTTCTTAGGATAAATTCACTCAGGTCCTGTGATTCCTAGTGTCAATTTTAGCGGTATTGCTGATGTGGTTCGAACTTTTTACATGTAGTCTGTAGATGAAAGTGTGTGACCATTCAAATAAAACTTATCGAGAAGTACCTCCCTGTTGTGCTATTCAGTTTGCAAATACTTCAAAGTGAAAATTTACGTCAATTTGCTAAATTTGTACTAAGCTTTTCGATCCAAACTCAAATACCTTTTTGGCCAAAGCCTTGCAAAGATGACGATGAATGACTTTTCTCTTGTAGCGCAAAAACCACAGCTTGAAAATCTTCCTACAGAAAAAAAGAAGAAAACACTTTATCGACGAATGTATTTACTAGTAAACGGAACCTGACAAAGATCCAGTCATTTTCCAACCTACACAAGATCACATTCCGTGCGAAGAAGACGTCAAGGTGATAGTTTACATGAAGCTGGTTAGCAAAATACCAGAAGGGGCTTAACTCTAGAAACTCCAGCGGAGGAGGCAGCATGGCCGAGTGGTTTAGGCCGCTGGTGTTGTAATCCGGACGTTCCGGGTTAAAGGCCTCCACCCTGCCACTAGCAGGACCTTTTTCTCGGTAGTCCCGAATTCAAATCCTCCGTCACGCTTTGTAAATAGCCAACTGGTCTGCCTCCTACCAGTTGGGATTTTTAACTATGCTGCGTTTATTTGAAATATTTGTTTCCTTTGTTTCAGCGGCATGCCTGTAAACTAGCTAAGCTTAGTGCTTGTATAGCTAAATGCATGACCACTATAAATAAGAGTTACATTTTACATTTACATTTCTAAATTCCTGGCCTTTGTAGGTTCAGGCGAAGCGGGTGACAAGGTTATACATGTACAACATGAAGAAGTAGTTATAAGAAGATCATAAAAACAGCTCACCTTTGAAGACCCCCTCTGTAGATCCTATCCGCCTGCCTGTTCATCAGACGATCTTTCCAGTGATGGAAAGACTGCTTAGCCAACTTGTGACGATGGTATTCCTTACACATGCTTTGGAATCGCAGTCGAATAATTCTGCAATACCACAGGATGGTAAAAGAAATACATTATTTTGAGCCTGGATGTCGACAATAAAATGTTCGGGCTTTGTGCAAAAACGTTACAGTGGCTCTACGCACGAGAGCAGGGTGACTTACTTTGCATATTGTGTCCAGTTCTTCCAGCAACAGAAGGCTTTTACAAGTATGCGTTTCCTGAAAAGTGGAAAAATAATTGTTTACAGTGTTAGGACAGAGATTTATTGTAATACGAACTTGTACTTGACAAACTGTGAACGCGCAAGGAGAGTAAATAGTGGGCCTTCACGACATTTTGTAACATTCAAACCCCGAAAAAGCAATTTTTTTAGGCTTCAAACGAAAAGCTTGGCAAGGCATGGTGCGCGGCAACAAGATTACGACTGTATAGTAATTGCAGTGATGTATATAAGGCACGCTTCTTTCCTGTCATTCCTTCTTCTACAAGTTCCATTAATAAGTTAACTGTAAACTATAACTTACGATGTCAAACTGTGGGCCACAACAGCTTTGTTTGTGTTCTCTCTCCACACTGAAAACAGTCTAGCTTGTAAATGTTCTTCATAATGAACTCTACAAAATGAAAAAAAAAGGTTCAAGGTTTGTTTCTACAAATATGATAATTAATTCTCAATTTCATGTTTTCAAACTCTGTAATCCATTATTAGTGATCTCGAGCATTTATGCTGCGAAACATACACAACAATTATAACAATTTTTTTCGCTTCGAAGGCAGTTTTGGACAATAAAATCATTACGATAAATTAAAAGCCTTTTTACCTGGCAACGTCTTTAAGCCTTGTCTTGACCACTCTCTGAGAGGCATAGAGTCGCCAGCTGTGCCAGTTCTTTGTCAACAGTCCAATTCTGGTCAGAAAAAACACTCCTTTAAAATTAACCCTGATGTGATCATATCTGTGTGGACTAGCGTTTGAAAATGTGCTTGAACGAGATCCTGAGAAAGATGACAGACAGCTGCAAGTGTCCCAGTCTAGGAGTGACAAATCTACTCCGATGATTTCCATAGTACACAAAAACTAAGTTTGGACAAGTACAGTTTTAGTTTGCGTATAGGGAGAATAACTAGGAAAAATGCTAGCTGTGTGAAAAAAAAAAAATATGACGGAAGAATTTTTTCAGTCCGTTCAGTCGAAACATTTTCCATCACAAACTAAGCAGTAACATGTTAATGTATGCTTTCATGTTATAGTTTGTTCTTTTGTAATTAAAGATACTTCATTGGGTGTGAAACTCTAATTTTCATCTTTGTTATGAATCCAAAGAAAGCTGTGCCTGTAATATTAAGTGTTAATGAACATTAATCATGTGTGACAACGAGAAATTAATAATTACTCAAAGGTACAAAAACCTGTTGCATAATTTTGGTTCCTATTTTCAATATAAAATCTGAGCAGACCTACCAATATCATACAACCTGAAGAATCTTTACAATGATAGGGACAATTTTTTCAGTTTCCTCACCAAGAATGTTTGAAAGTTACTAAATAAAATGAATCTACAAAAGTTAAAAATTTACGTCCTGTCAAATGCCAAATTTAACATCATAAATAATATACGGCTGTAGTAAGAACAAAAAAAAACAACAAAAAAACAAACTTTTACTACAGCTAATATGCAATTTACATGGCTCTATAGTTGACATTTCTGGTATGACACTTTTACATTTTTAGGCCATTAAAAAATACTGTAGCTTAGTCAGACATTATATGAGTACTAATAACTTAAGCGCAAAAAACTAAAATGAAAATAATAATAATAATAATAATAATAAAACAATGACTAGCATATCAAAGGAGTTATTGACTTAAAAATAATAATAAAACAATATTGTTGTTGTTGTTGCGCAATAGCAGTATCAACCTACTTGAAGTGTAATGAAGCTACACCATTCTTCTGTTCTGTCTCGTACTTTATCTTCCATTTTGTATAGTTTCTTGATAAAACCTGCCTGTCAGCCATCTCCTCCATCATTGCATCCCTATCATTTAAAGACCAAAATTTAGAACAAATACCTTCCCTAAAAGCATGGGCATCCTAATTAAAAAATACACATGTCAATTCTTATGACTAGCTTTTTTGTCATAATTCTGATCTCCTTTTACTTAACTCTTTCAGTCTCAGACTCAAACTATTAATTCTCCTAACTTGCTTTATGTTTCTTATGAAGTCTGAAATGAGGAACTAGCAATTGCGTAGTTTTGAGAGAACTCCCATGATGGCTTCTTCTATAAAGCATGTAACTGTGTGTTAATTTTTATCCAGCTCTCTTGTGCCAAGAGCCAGAAATTGTGCCAATTATGTTGCCTACTGTCAAATGTTTTCTGCTTAGTTCACATCAAATTTCTCCCACAGGAGCCTTCAGAGGACAGGTGACACAGCGTTTGGTGTCCTGCCTACTACAAAATTACCTGGCTTGACTGATTACCTGTTCTGATCCATTTTAAACATGTGCCATTTGTCAAATGCTTCTTTGAGCCGAGTTGTTACCTTCATCTCAACACCCTTTTGCCACTGAGTAAGAAAACAGAGCAGAAGTGAACTTCAAATGATACACAAACTGGTTAGACTACATAACTACGAGTAGTCCCTCTTTTCCTTACATGTAGTCCGTTGTGCATCACGTGAAAGAAACCTGCAAGAAAAAAAAAGCCACCCAAGCTCCCGGGGGTGAGAAGCACATGCATCTCGCCCCCAGGATTTCACGTGCCCATCCTTTTCCTTGCGGCTTATTTATGGTATTGCTACATGGACTAAGTAAAAGAAGGACTACTTGTACACTGTAGTCTACAAATTGGTGTACACAATCATCTTCTCTTACTGAGCCATTATTTTGTGCTATGAAAAGAATTGTTGTTGGTGACAACACACCAACAACAGTTCTTTCAGAACTACCCTCACCTGGATGATCACACTATACAAACTACTGATACTCCTGAGTTCAAACCATTTACTATGATACAAAGTTTAGTGCATTGTAACAGAAGGATGTCTCGAACAGCACTTTCCATAGAGTTGTAACTACAATGCAGAGTTGTCAAAAGTTTTCAAGTAGGGGTCTTTGTTTATGGCTGATTTTGCGTATTTTTCCAAAGAACTGGACAAACAATCCAGCTGAGATTATCAAGTACATGTAGATGGAGATTTTAACTGGCAATCAGCTACATGTACTTTTGTGAGAACTGCTAACATCATAGAATCCCCACCAAAGCTTATGCAGGTGCCAAGTCTTATTAAAAGCACTGATCTAAGCTTGAGCTGAGCTTACTTGAATTTTTCAGACTCTACATATCTAGAAATCCAATCTCTGGGGTATGATGTTTTACACATTTTTCCCTGTCTAGGAGATTAGGGGTGGAACGAGGAGCGATCCTTTGAGAGTTTTTTTTTCTTTTCATACCTTCAGCCAGTACTTTGCCATAATCCTTGCACTCGTCCTGGTCTGTACCTCAACAGCTGACTGTTTGTGCTGATTGACAGCAAATCGTAATGCACTTATCCCTTTCTGCAACATTTGCTTCCTCCGCAGCTTGTCAGCCTTTTCTTGTTGGGCATATCTTGCATTTCTCCAAGCTTCAAAGCATTTTTGTTGCATCTCTGTTTGCCAGAAAGTCACAGCACTGTACAAAAGAGACAAAAAGACAAAATTAATTTTCCTCGTTGCTTTTTTTTCCCCACAGCTTAAATTTGGTTTTGGTTTGGAACTATTTCAAAAGTTGAATCATGATTAATTCTGGTGTGAAACAAAAAAAAGTCAGGTCTGCATACAACCCAAGGGGCCCATCATGCCAGAGCCTACAGTATCCCAGTTTCCATAGCATGCAGTGACTAGGAGTATTTAATCTACTCCCCACTGGGTGGGAAGCTGCATGTGGTCCATCACAGGCTTAATCCCCAGCATGAAGTTTGCCAGTACATGTACATGTACCCATTTATACACCTGGGTGGAAAGAGGCACTGTGAGAGTAAAGTGTCTTGCCCAAGAACACTACACAATGTCCCCGGCCAGGGTTCGAACCTGAACCACTTGATCCAGAGACGAGCTCACTAACCATGAGCCTTGTCTCTCTCAAAACGAGGGCAAACACATTTCAAATTAGTTTGTTAAACCTTGCACCAAAACAAATTTAGACCAACAGAGTTGCGCTGTTTAGTAGTTGTCTAATGAAATGCGTTTCATACACATTATATGACTTATTACCTGAAGAGATTGACAGAAAATTACAGAAGCAACAAACTAAGATACCTCTGCAACTTGACCTCATCCTCCTGTTTAATGAGTCTCTTTAGCCTTGTTTTCTGGTACCAGCGTCGAAACATGCGACCCTAAAGAAACATACGCAAAAAAATTACATGAGATCTAAAAATTCCTTTCCACAAATCAAACAACGAAGCTCAAGTACACCTACTGTTTATTAACTAATTACTTACTAGAGATTATCGTACACCGTACCTTAATGAGCAGCTCTTGATACGAGTTTGGGCTAGATGAACGCGTGGCTTCTATAAGCTTCATGGCCCAAAGTGCAGAGGAAATTCTTTGTGATGTATCAACTGAAAATGAGTTTGTCAAGCTACATATAGAAAAAAAAGGAACAAAAGCAAACCTTAGCCACTGATTGATGAAGTAGTTGAGCCCTGCTATCAAGAACTGTTGAGGGGAAGGACAAATAGTTCCACATGTTAGGGGGCTCGAGATAGCAGATCATAAGTTAATGAAAAAGTATAGCCAAGGTAAAGTGACTTGACAAGTGTTCGAGATAAGCGAGTTTGAACTGTGCAAAGTTATTTTTATTAAATAGCAATTATCAAAACACGCACTGTACCTTATATCTTGCAGTACATTTCCTTTTTCGTCAACATAATCATCAAGTGAGTGTTCTCTCTTGCTGCAATAGCTGTTCCTGTCAAACAGAGGTTGAGTCACCTTGGTTGGAGGTGAACTTTCTGGACTTGAGTACACACTTCCACTGCTCAGTAACTCTTCAATTGTGAGACTAGCATCTCTGCTTTGTACACTCGACCTCAAACTACGATTGGCAGTCACATCCACTATACTGTTGGACTGTTGGAGAAATTGATCCCTCTTTGGTGCTAGAGACACAGCTCTACTAGAATGCAAAGTTTCACGTCCATCATATTCCAATCTGACATTTGATTGCCTGGGCAGTGAGCCAGAATTCCTGGAGAAATTTGAAGCAAACAAGCTGTGTTCGTCGTACAGCGACAAGATTTGAACAGAACCAGAGCTCTGCTGTGAATCACAGCAATCTGGAATTCTATTAGTATCTCTAGTGGGAGGGGAGGGTGGCAGAGGGACATCACCCACATCACCATATTTGGTGTCTTTCTTTTCAAAGGGGCTTTCCCTCTCTACTGTTGACTGTTGCCGTGGTTTCAGATCAAAACTTCTTTTAATCTCACTGTTTTGTAATCCACATCCAATCAGGTTTTGCCCTAAGCCACTACTCAGTACCACATTGCTCTGTATCTTCGGCTTCCGTGGTGTAACAGACCCATTCAAATAACCTCTTCCTTCTTCTTTCCCTGGCACAGTTGTTTCGTTTGGCATGTTAATGCCCTTTACAGAATTTGCAAATGAAACTGACTTAGGAGAATGTTCTTTCTTTCTTTCTGCATCATTTTTGTGCCTTTCCTTTTTATGTAACAATTCCCTTGATCTTTGCATAAATTTATTGGCCAATGCCTCCTGAGAACTGGAAATTGTGTGGCTTCCACTTGATGAAAGACTCTTTTTGAGTCTTTCCAAATGACTGGCATTTTCTCTGTTACCTGGCACTACTCCATTGACATTTCTTCTTGCTATAACTGGCTTATGTGTGGATACCTCAGAGGAGACTAGTACAGGAGGGACTTTAATTTGAACTTGAGTGGAAGATCTAGTGGAAAGAGGGTAACTGGACTCGTAGTGCCCATTGTGCTGACAATTGTCAACTGGAATCTCTCTCCTTGGTTTACCATTAAGCATCACATTGGATTGTCTGTAGTACAAGCTACCATCAAACGGTTTAGATGAAGTCACAACCGCGTCCTGCATTCCTTCATTAACTGTTGCACTGTTGCCAGTTGCATTGCCCTCTGTACTTTGATTGCCACTGAGATGTGCAGTCCCTGAGGGAAGACATCCTGAGGATGGATTGCTTGAGTCTCCCATCACTAAGCTGAAAGGATTAGATACCTCACTGTCCAGGAATGTGTGAGCTCGGTGAGCTGTGAAAATATAAATCAGTCACATGGTAATTAAAGTACATGTACATGTATGGTGTAATGTACATTGTAGATATTTGTTCATCACAAAATTTGGTGTTAACACATTTCATTTCTCTGACATGTAAATAAATAACCAAATTATTTTTAAAAAATAAAAAAATACCGTAGGTTTTTTGAAGATGACCTACTGTCGAAAATGGTCAGTGGTTTTCCTTTTTCACTTTATGGACAAAATTATTTTACTGACCAATAATTTCATCGATGGTTTATTGGTACATGTGATCTGAGTAAGGGTAAAATTATTGTAAGTAATACACTGTAAAAATAATACTTGATTTATAGTTTGAATATCCAAGCCAGAAGAAGTAAAAAAGCACAATTATTATTGCTTATTTATTTCAGTAAAGGTTAACTAACACTGTACACTGTACCTTCTGCAGTAGCATGATAAGGAGGTCTGGATACCATGTGCGACTGAATGGTGAATTCTGCAGGGTGAACTGATTTGTGAATAGAATCCTGAAAAAAATATCTATATATTTACTGACCATAATGACAGTCTACCAATAAGTCCAAAAGTTTGTAATAATTAATTTTATCTAAACTGGATCAAATACCTGTCAAAAGACTGGGCCATCATGAATTAACTCTTTGCATTAAAACTTTAAACTGAAAACAATCGCTGATGACTGAATTTTCTAGGATTTGATAGTGAAGTGCTCTGGACAGCATTGTACACGTACAAGCACTATATAAAAGTTAATTAATAAATATAATATCATAATTCTACTGACCCTTTTAATTCCAGTTACATATATGTACACATATAAACATGTAAAACATCTTAAAAGCAAAACATCAAATCTCACTGACCTTCAAGGTATCTGGCAAATCGTAAAAAGAGAGCTCAGACCACTCATCATCTGAGCTCTCAACACTTCCTTGCTGTAGGCAAGCCTGGTTCCCTGTTGGCAAATCTTGCCTTAAGCTTTGATACCAAGGTTCATGCTGACGATCACCGACTACTGTAAATATAAAAAGCAATTCTTTTATTAGTAAGAATACGTTTTGATTAATGTGTACATGCATACAAGTAGTTTCCATATACATAATATATATGATGTAGATTGCTATGATTCAAATACACTGTAGTCTTAGCAGGGCTCAAAAAAAGTACCATCCAGTTGTCTGGGACAAGTAGATTTTCCATCTAGGCAAGTAATTTTACATTCTCAGTTGCCCAATGGGCAATGGGCAAGGGCCCAGGTAAGTCATCTGCCAACTGAATAATAGAAGAAGTAAACTCGCTAGGACAAGCTGAAATTTGAGAGCTGCTTGTTCAAAGGGCAAGCTGGAATCCGCGTTTTTTTCAAGCCCTGCTTAGCTCAGGGCATTTTTTGCACAGTAGTGCATTGAAATAATAATTATTTCACTTATTCACTTATTATAGTTTTATTAATTCTACCTTTCTTTCTTGACAAATCCAGCTTAGAGTCAAAGCAGTTCTGCAAAATGATAAATTACAATCATAACTGCTTAGAGTATGAGTTATACAATGTATTACAAGAATATTTGATTAGTAAAAGTGAACTATAATTGAATTTCTCTGCAGTGGCCAGCAGTGGGTCATACACAACTAGCCATTGAAGAGAGGCAAGCATTGTTTGAAGATCACAAATGAAATTTTATACCCTAGCAGCAACTGATTTAACTTATGATTTAATAATTCAGCTGTTCGTACTCAATACAAACTAACAATATTGTGCTTTCTGCTGTTAGTGCTACAGCCAGGTCTATTAAACTTTGAAAAAAAACAATCACTAACAACAATTGTATTAGAAGTACAGAACTTTAGGGTCATGCATATTTCATGTAAACGTCATGGACATTAAAAGAGTCTTAATCATACAAATCCAGTGTTGACATTTTGTTACCAGGATACTGTGTATATGTGTAAACAGCATACTTGCTCATGAAATGACAGCTGGTACACGCATTTAACTTAAATATATCTAATTACACGAAAAATGAAACGACATGATTGTATATTCCAGTGTAGGGTTAGCTTGACAATTCACAAACAAAATTTTTGAAATACTGGATGATTGAAGATGCATGTATTTAATAATTAGAACAACAGCTTACGTAACTCAAATAATAAGATTCAAGAAAACAATTACTGTCAAAAAAGTTGTATCAAATCTGTGAATCATTTCTTGTATTGAGTTACAATACACATGGAAATATATCTAAATGCTTAAACAGCAAAACCACTTCATAACAATCGACAATGGACTTCACTATTACAGCTACATGTCCACTGAAAACTGTTGATCACATTTACCAGTCAGCTAGAATACATGATGTCAAGCAGATACATGTACAATATGAGCTGACATCTGGCAGAGTTGAGAAGTTTCATACTTTTATGTCAATTATCCATTTATCTGTACATGTGTACAATATCTGCACTCTTTAAAGGAAACTTTCTTTCAAACCTGCAGTACAGTGTCATAGTGAAAATGGTATCTAAATTGTATTCATAAATTTTACAAGCATTGTCTTAAGTCAATTGGTTCATATTACGGAAGCTCTAATGGCACAACTGAATCAGAACTTTAACGCATTACTAGTGTCTGAACATAGAACATAATGTAAAAGCTTTGTTCTGACATAATTTGAAAAGAGCCGGACTTGATGTTATTCTTGATCAACAGGGCACAATATAATGGAAATGATGATATTGCACAAGTTTCTTAGTTTACAAACCAAGCTAAACAAGAACAAATTGCCAGATGCTAATAGATTATTTTCTGGTTCATTACAGTACACAGAACAAAGAGCCAACTCACCAATCAGCCCAACTGGTAATAAATCACAGCAAAGCACGAAAGTCCTGTCTAATGTACAGACATTTACAGTGATATATCATGTTAAGAAGTGACAGCAAGATTGTGAGTAAATGTTATCTTCTTCATACTGAAATCAGGGTAGAAGCAGCCATTGATTGTAGTGTTCTAAAAGTCATTTGCAAGCCAAATTATCAAGAACAAAAAGCTTGATATTGATTCTCCATTAACTGTTTTGACAGCTTTGTGAAAACCTGTCACATCAAAGATGGAAAGAACAGAAAATTGTCACGTCTTACATCTGATAAAAGCAAAACCTGTCCCGACTAAAATAAAATATCGCTTAATCTCACAATCACAATAACTAGATAATCCAGAAATGTTTTTCTTCCTGTAAAAGCAAACTGTAATAGCAATCTCATTTAGGGCAATTTTCTCAATGTAGGGTACTCATTGAAAATTTTTTTGCTGTTGATAGATGGTTTTGTATAAATTAACATTGTTTGTTTTAAAAAAAATTCCTGAATCACCAATCAATACAAAGCAATGTTCTAGCTTGATTACACATTACCTTTTCAAGCAAACAGTATTGAAGATTAAGCACCAGTTTACTAAACTACTTATCATGAATTGGATGGTACAGTGTAGAATATTAGATGACTAAAAATAAATCTTAAAAAAAATCACCAAATGAATTTAAAATATGCTGCATGTAGATGTACATAAATTTGACAATGATAATTAAAAAACACCCCAATACATTGTACATTACATGTATATGGTCGAACAATGTGCAGTTCCTGAAAATATCCATACTCCCCCCACAGAAGGGATTTTCCTGGGGGTGGGAGATTCTAAGACCAAAAAATTTAAAGAAATGTATGAAGATTGACTGGAATTTCCAGAGGGGTGGGGATCTTAGAAAAAATCCCTTCTGTGGGTAAGGTATGGATATTTTCTGGAAATACACAATACAAACTGAGCAGAGGGAAAAAAATTCCTCATTTCAATTAACTTAATTACATAAACATTGTACACTTTGGTCAAAATCGAATGGAAAAAGAGCAAATGAAAATTGCGTGTGAAGAAGATTAGTAATAATCAAAGACCAGAATTTCTCTTTAAAGCTGATCTGTGAGTAATAAACCAATTCAGATCAAATGTGGTCACCATTTCTTCAGGGAGAATTGAATGATAATTATCCCAGAGTGAAAGAGATTGGGTACAGTGCTTAGAGGCAACAAGAAAGTTACTGGGGAACATCCACAATCCACCAACCAGGAACTCGTTTCTGGCTAGTTATTTGACTTCACGCTAAATTAAAGCAAACCACTTTAAATTTACTCAAATTACCAGAGCATCTTCTCAGGTGTATGAACAGGTAGTACCAGCAATTGTTACACCAATGCAAAATAATCTGTAAGCAATAAGCCTCCACCCCACAGGTACCAGAAATCACAATTATGTTAAAAGAATATTCTTCTCCATATTTCAGTTCATTACCCAATAATTTTTTCCATGACCAACAAAATTATATTACCATTAGTATTATCAATTTGTGATTTCAGAGCAGCATGCATATGGAAGGTTAACTGTCATTTGAGAAAGAAACAGTTATGCAGCCAGATTTCAGGCCAGTTCAGAGCTGCCAGTGAGAAAGCTCCCTATCCTAATTAAAAGTACTTTTTCTATAACTTTAATTTTTTTTAAGAATTTGCAGAAAGAACTAATGTAATAATCAAAAGTACATTAAATCTCTAGGTTTTAAACGTTCCATGCTGGTGGCTTTTTTAAATGTAGTTTAAAATGTACATCAATTATCATTTGATGAATCGACATTTAAACTTAAAACTTAACAACATTAAATTACTTTAGGGTGAAATCTAAACAAGTGCTGTATCGTCCCCAAATTTTTTTCCCGGAAGTTTTAGGCTTCTTTTAATACAAGACATTTTAGGCAACGATGGACCCTCCATTTGTTTACCTTCCAGGAAAATAATAATCGAACAAATTTTAACGCCACGCCACAACATTATTTTAATAGACTAGTTGTAAACAAGCTGGCACGGGGCGGATTCGTGTAATAACAGTCCAGGAAAAAGAAATCAACTAAAAAAATAGGAGACGAAGACAAAATTACCTTAATCGAGCGATAAATATTAAATAACGACAATCAAAGTGTAAGCTTTTGAAAATATTGTTTAATAATATAAGCTTAAATTGAGCGCAAAAAGTTCCTGAAATCCGAGTGGATTGTCCGTGATTTTTATATCAATTTGCCTGTAACATGGAAGTTTATGAACAATTCAAAGCCATTTAGATAGCCTTGGACAGCAGTAAAAAATATTAAAGATTTATGGGATTAAACCGCAATTACAATGTGTGCGACATTTTCAAGATCCCACTTGTAGACAAGAACTTCCGATCGATCCTCTCTCTGACATGAGCTTGCATAACCTTAGAATTATTAGACTTCATTTTACCTTTGACTTGAACCTTCTTTCCCGTTCCTTTAGGCAGCCAGGGCAGCTGTTTTCCATTGAAATACAGTTCCTAGGACTTATATTTGTCGGTCACATCCACTGACCCACGAGGAAGGAAAACAGATACGGTATAGCGCATTCCTGAAACCGAACAAAGCTCGTTCACCCCGTGTTACAAGATGATTCTAACGATTTTCCAAGTTCTGATTCGTTGCATTAACTCTAAACCTCAGCTGTAAAATGTACCCCTTCTAAGTGAATTCGATTCATGACGCCATTCAAGGCAAATGCCTTCTTTCCACGACTTACACAAGGGCCTAAAAACACTATAATTGCACAGAACAATGAAGGCAGCGCTGCGTGAAACATGGCGTCCTTTTGTTGGAAAAACAAACGGTGGTGCTGATAGAGACAATGGCGGGAAAATTGTTGCTATGGTTCCGAACAAAGAGGTTTCTCATGTGGAACCTCGGCCAGGACTGGGCTGAAAATTTGATTACTTCTGACAGGAGCTGACTTTAAAACGAAGTAACTAAACTAAAAAAAACTTCCATATTGTATTAAAATCATTCATTAAAATCTGATTGGCGCAAGTCTTATTCATACTATTTTTAATTGCATTTTTAGCCAATTAGTCAACATTATAAAAGTTCAGACAACTTTTAAATTACAAACGCTTTTTTTTATATCGGATTTCAAAGTGTAAAACAATGAATTGACTAAATTTAATCCAAGCAACTCAAGCGACGTTGACGGCAAAATAGTTGCTCTATTTTCCGCGAAGCAGGGATTCGATGTGTTGATCTGAGCACGCGACAAAAACGTTCCGATATGTACTTTGCCGTTTTGCCGGTCTAACCCGGGCGATCTAAGCCCGCCGGGCGAACAATGAAAGGGAAGTTCTCTCTTCTGATTTTTGCCGCCTCGAAGGGGAAAGGAGATCTATGTGATCGACTGATCTTGAGTTTCGGCCTCCCAAATAATATGCAACTAATGTATTTTATAGCGCAAAAGCAAAATGCTTCAGACAGCCTGTAACTCAGGTACGTAACGAGATTAACGCGACGGCGAAGTCACGCCAGGACAGTCATCACAAGACGGTACCGCTTACGAGGGTAAACAATATTTATAACAGTTGTAAATGCTGGTATTATCCTTGTGGGAGACGTTATTAATACAATGAAAAGTACGCATGCGCATTTGTCTCAAGTAAAAATTTGCAGCCCGTGAAGGAAGCCACGTAAAACTGGATGGAGTTAAACTTTTAACAAACCCAAGATTTTGAGTAAACGTGAAATTTTGAATAAAAACATACGACTGCGCAACGGCATTAAATTTGGAAGCGGAGACTAGAAAACAGGCCCTGAAAAAGCAAGATATGCAAAATGTAGATAGTTTCACAAGAATAGTTTTTATTGATATGAACTATTGGAACTGTTTTGTTTGTTTGTTTTTTTTGTTTACTTTTATGAACTAATATTATGACTAAATAACATTCGTATATCTCAGCAGCGTTTTCTGTTACTGTACAGTTGTAAATATAAAATACATATTCATAAACTGTATTTTAAGCGTATAAACTGAATTCATTTGAGTCTACTTCACGGTACCCTAAAAGCTTCAAAATGTCAGGGATTTTACTGCGACCTTTTGATTGGAGATATACAAGTGTTTGATAGCGTATATACAATGCATTTAATTTTAACAGATCCGCTCAAATGTTTTAAAATTTGTTTTAACCTAAGCTTTGCGTTTCAATTAAAAGATTTACAGAAAAAATGAATTTAAAACGGAGCTATGATTCCCAAAATGTGAACTACGTCTTGCTCCTCATGGAGGATCGATTTCATCTAAGTTCAATTCCTTTTTGACCTAGGACTACGTACTTCATTTGAAACGAAAAACGATCAATATTTGAGGTATCAGTGGCGAACTATTCCATTTTAATTCAGAGGGTGGGTTTTTCGAATTTATTTTTCTTATCGAGTTACTGTTGAAATCTGTTAAATACTAATATATTGTCCCTTGTTATGATCATTTCCTTCAGTTAGTTTCCAGGATATGGGTTAGGATTCAATTTATTCAGTATATTATTCTCTGTCCTGATAAAAAGAAAATCAGTTCTCGAAAAAAGCTATCTACATTGTTTATGTTCCTTGTTTAAAATCTCTCTTTGATGCAAACTTCGAAGGGTCCAGGCATTAAAACAACGCCCACACGGCCTGTCAGATCAGGAAGCGGTTTATCAGGAGGATTTTCAATTTTGAATTGATGTAGGAACCTGGAAACGATTAAAAACATCTCGGTCTTAGCCAGCGACTCGCCCAGGCAACCACGCCTTCCAGCGCTGAAAGGCAGATAGCTACGAACTCCAGCGGCAGAAACTTTTCTTTCTGAGCTGCCAAATTTCCCTTCTTTGTCCAAGAACCTCTCGGGGTTAAACACTTCTGGCTTCTCCCATTCGTCTTTGTCGTGATGCATAGCCCACACGTTTGTAATCAGCATGGTGTCCTTTGGCACATCATAGCCTCCAAGTGTCGTGTCGCAAGTTGCTTTATGAGGAAGCGACAGAGGCACGGTGGCTGCAATGCGGAGGACCTCGGCAATGGTGGACTCCAAATATGGCAAGTTCCCGCGATCTTTCAAGCACGGCATGCGGCCACAGCCGATGACATCATCCAGCTCAGCATGAAGGCGCGCTTGGACCTCTGGGTAGTGGGCCATGTAGGCAAAAAGCCATCGCAGGGTGGTGGCCGTTGTCTCGAGGCCAGCATTAAAAACATCGTTCATAGTCATCACAATGTGATCTTCAGTCAACAGCTGCTCGACTTTTCCATCTTCTTCCTTGGCTTCGTGGTAAGCCTTCAACAGCGCATCGGTCAAATCCTCCATCTCGAAGTTATTGTTCGCGTTATCCTCTTCGAATCTCTTCTTGTGCTCCCGGTATTTAGTACCCAGGATGTCATCTCTGATGGCTCTTGATTTGCGGAGAGTTTTCACGTCTTCCAAGGGGAGAAATCGCAGCCACGGAAGCAAGTCTAAAATGTGATAGCTTCCAAATAGCCTGATAAAATCATCATTGTACTCGATTATGCGCTGAAATTCTTCGTCTTCGATATCATAGCTTTCACCATAAACAACAGCGCAGATGACGTTCAAAACTGTTAGTTGAAGGTCGTTCTTGGGGTCAAGAGGTTCGCCTTCGTGCGCGGAGATTCGTTTCGCTAATTGGCTAACTTCGCTACAGATCAGCCCCTCCAGGTGCTGCAAGCCACTTCCGTACATGCGCAGTGCAGAGTGTGCGATCTTTCGTAGAAGAATCATGGTTTGCGTGAAGTCGGCGCAAATTATGTCTTTGCCTCCGCGAGACAGATAACCGCTGATGAAGGTTGAAGGCCTTCCTGAAAAATCGTCTCGCTTGGTGAGCAGCGCCTCCCGCGCCAGATCTATTGAATTAATTACGACACATCGCTGACCGCCGGGTAGGTAGAGCGTGAAGATTTTCCCATACTCCTCAGCGAGCTCAGTCATTGCCTGGTGACCAGGTTTTCCCGCCAGACGAAGCATGTTGCCGATCAGCGGGTAGGGACTGGGGCCAGGTGCGAGAGATAACGCTTTCTGTCCACGAGCACGTTGGATCAGGAATATGATGAGCATAACACAGGAGCAAACTAGGGCGATTTCCAAAATCATCTTTGAAGAATTCTGAAAAAGACGAGTAGTAATTGACTAGTTACACGCGTTCGAAGTTTTTAAATAACCTTAAATATTCGGCTACCTACTCTGAGCATCAACAAAACCCCACAGGTTTACGCCGGTTTCCTCGTTAGCTCACCAGCGGGTGTCGAGCGAAGTTTATTGAGTTGATTGACCTGCCCAGCGGGTGTTAATGCGTCAAATGGCCTTTTTTTAGAAATCGATACTTTAATCTTCTTCAAAAAGCCGCAAACAGACTTTGACAGGTCAGTACATGACGACGCGTTCAAAAAAAGCGAGACTTGTTCAGTTCAACTGAATAAGTCTCGTTTCTTTTTACCGACCGAATTTTCTCGAGGTTGAAAATTTTATTTTTGCAATTTTTGTTTTATTTTTTTTTTTTTCGTTAAAACTCTTTATTTACTTTTCCCGTTTCTTGTGGAAATGCCAAAAAGTGTATTATACACGACTAAGCCCCTTTAATAGGGAGAACTTCGCACATAATTTTGCTTGTTTTATATTTTTATCATCATACGGTCTTTCTCAGGTCAGAGTCAAAATGTTTATCAAACTGAACTTTGTTACTGAGTTATATTTAGTCGCCACTTTCCATTTTAATTAGCAGACGGGCCGAATGAGCGCGATCTTGACCTTAAACTATTTTTAAAAAACTGTTTTCCAATTCGACGCAGGCGATATCCTGACTATAAAGTTTCAGGCCATATGAAACGGACCGTACCTGATTCGACTGAATTCCCAACCTTCCCAAATTGGAAGTTGATATACTTATAAATACAGCTCGAAAAAGATCAGACTTCAAAGATAAACCGCTTTATATTTAGGTTACAATTATGGCTAGCTTACATGAGCCGCCTTGGATTTCACGTTAGTCGATTTGAATTCGCTCAAGGCTCTTGACCTTAGCATTCATACATAAACATAAACACGTGCACGTGGTTAACGCTAAACGAGCACGTGGAAAGGACAGAAAAGAACAAAATCCACTTTTTAGCCAATCAAATTCGTAGCATCAAGGCCAATCATAGCTTGACCGGCTTATGGAATTTTTTTCAGATAAAACAAAGCCTGTATTTTGGACAAAAGTCACGTTGCGTTTATCATCGCCATCTCAAAGAGGATTTGTTCCAAATACTTAATTTGCCTTTCCGGACTTTGTGCTAGTCACACAATTTCTATTATCTTAACATGCATGTAACAGAAATTTAAGTCACATGTTATCTATTTCTTTAAAGTCGCGGCTTTCAAACAGAGACATCCAATTTTGGAGAAAAATCAGGGGAAAACAGCTCTTATTTACAAGTTACAACAGGGACGCACCAGGCTTAATAGATCAGGCACAACATGCCTGAGACCGTGTTCAATTTTTCTGGGTAAACCTTTCACTATCAACCGTTACCAAAGCCTCACGCATGTATTAGTACTGCACATGGGTTAGGTTCACGTGTTAGGTTAAAGAACTCGTTGTGAAGTGAGTGAAAACACCGTCAATATCTGTACTCCACGACACATGTAGTCTGCAAGAATTAAACTTTCAAGAGAGATAACTATGTTGCCAAAGTACAACTGAGAAAACATAGCTGCTCGCTGAATAGGACAGGAGATTAAATCAAGCACTCTATATTTTGCAAGCGCCACACTAAGGGCCGGTCATTATAAGCAGGTTAGGATCGGTTCCTTTCAAACTCCCCGAAATTTAGTTAAAATGCATAAACTCTTGAACTTTTTAAAGCTCTATAGAACTACAACTTTTTGTTTGCTTCCTCTTTGCAATAAATTTGAAACAACGTGTATACTTCCCTTTTAAAAGAAACCAAAACTGACTTGATATGAGATATTGAAGTTCGACAATTAACTATATTATCGAAGACACACACTGGATAAAAGTGAGCTGAAAAATGAGCAAGAAGAATTGGAGTATTCTGTTTCTTTGAAATCCTGATCATGCTTAATGAAAGTTCTGGGTTTTTGAGCTATTTAAACATTGCTAGCAATAATAACGATATGTGTAAACATTCGAGGTCTAATTAACTTCAGCTAGTCTTATTTACAAGCCAAAAAGTTGTGGATTGGAAAGATCAAAAGACTTGTAAAAATTTCTCGCGAAATTTGTCCTGCTTCAATTTCCCGGAATTATCTTGAATGCAAAAATTTCTTTGATTCGCACTGTTGCGATGGGCGTTAACAGAGCTCTTGAACTGCACTATGTACAAGAACTACTCCAAAAAAAATAGCCGCTATAACATTGTTATTTCAACTTATGAACTCCACGATTGCACGATAACCCCCAGAACTTACACGAAACATCAAGATGTTACCCCAGAGAAAAAATGTTAACTACCTAAAGGCTCGCCGTTCGCCGGTTCGAAGTACAGCTTTGCGAATGCCTCGAGAACCCATTTGAGGTCAAACAGCAAACTGGGAAAACTTTACTCGTCACGCCAAAAAGTTTTCAAAAAGTATCACAATCTGCGGTGTTTGAATTAGAATTCAGCAAGCGTACCTTGATTGCAAGGAGAACCGGATTTTCTCTGTTCTGTTCTTCACCAGATCGCGCTCTCAGGTCTGCACTTCGCGAGACGACAGCCCACAGACAAGAAACTATGTTAGAGATGCTTATATAGACGAAGACTACGTGACAAACATGACGTTCTCCGCATGTTTACACGCGTGTCGCTGTACGTCTCGGCCGAGGATAAAATTAGAAACTCAAGTCCGCATAGCGTGAAATCTCATTGATTTAAATGAATCACGGCGCTGTGATTATTAATGACTTTTTCAACGCCCACGTGTTTGGCGGGCCCTAGAGTGAGGGTTTATCGAATCTACATAGAAATAGGCGGTTGTAACGAGATGCACCAGCTTGTAATACATCAGATTGCACAACTACAGTATTTTTCATAGCTCCCCCATTGACAAGAAGTGTAACCCAACCTTGAAATAAACAGTGTTTCTTGGCATGGAGTCACGTTTTTGTTCCACTTCACGAAACAACAGAAGTACATCAGCATATTCCGTAGACAGTCTCGTTGTAATTTATTTTTGTCGAACTGTGTTTGTTTGTCGCGTAATGCCATGGAGATAACAGCCGTTCTCGAAAAGCTAATATTTGCTTTTGTACTTTTTATTATATTAGGACACGAAGGGATGTCGAAATCGCGTTTTGAGGGTCCAAATTCTATTTCCTTGAGCGAGTTTTTCATCTGCTCTTGTGAATATTTTTAAGAAGCCAGCTATACAAGTTGATCAATTATTACATAATAACTGCATTTAATTCTGCAGAATTCGTGAAGAAATTTTGTCTTCTGCAGATATTACACCTCAAAAACCGCTAGATTCCGCACACAGTCATAGACCACGGCTACCATGATCTGAGAGCTAATTAACTACTTAGTCTCAAAGGTCAGGTCACGCGATGCAATTTTTCCGCGTCCACGTGTTGGGAGGTCGAGATCACGTAAACAAAGATTATTCAACATGCATGGCTGTAGAATCGATTGTAAACACAACTGAAGACCTTAGAGAGCTCACGTACACTGAAATAAAATGCTTTGTTATGTTCTGCAAAGAAATGCAATGTTATGTTGGTACGACAAAGTAAACTAGAGTTCATGCTGGGAAATTATCAGTCTAAACAATATATGTTGCACCGGTGGAACTAACATTTTAAGATTGCATAAAGCTCTCTGTTATCTTGGGGGGTGAAAAGATGTATTTCTGAGCGCATTTTTGGATGCAGAATATTCGGTTTCTCTCATGAATATTTCAAATAGTTGGAACAATGAGTTTTAATTTCTTTTCTTGCCGTTATCAAAAAATCACAGCAAGTAAGCTTGAAAGTAAACTTATATAAATACGATTTTATTGATGCAATATAGAAATTTAAACACAGTATCCAAAGCAAACCTCGTGACCTTCTTAGATTAGATGAAGCGAGAATCTAAATATAGCACGAATTAAAGGCAATCTTAAGCCACACAGACAGACAATCTCGGATTATTAAAGACAAAGACCTGCTCTTAGCAGTTCAAAGCTAAATATTTTTTATATACGTGTTATATTGTTAAGTGAATCAGTCTGGGAGAAAAATGAGCACGTACATTCAGTTTACAGGGTTAATTCTAGAAGAGAAATGTTAGTAATTAAATGTTAGGAATTACAGAAAGTTGAAGTAAAGTGTTGACCGGAGGTAATTTTCATCAAAATAATTTTTCCGTTTGATTATTATAGATTGCATGCCAACCCGGCTGTAAGAAAAATGACTTAGCGAAACAGATGGAGCAACAAGGAAATCTCGACTTTGTTGGCACCCTTGTGCAAAAGCTAAGTGCCAAACAAAAGTGCCAAACAATTTATTGTAAGTGCTGTCAATTTGAGGGCAAAATGTACTCGTTTTTCATCCTGTTATGGACCAGATTCAAATATTGGTTTGCGGTTTAGTGGTGAAGGTCACTGTGAAAAGGGAAATGTCCGAAAAAGTGATGTTCTACTCATACTGCATTGATTGTTCAGCTCTGACGTGGCCTAAAAGTGCAAATGCCACTAACCGGCAACCGGTATTTCATGGCGTTTGTTTCTTTCATACACTGATTTTTCTCTGCCTCTACCCAGGAGACCAGTCTTTTTGATAAGCAAAACAGATTGTAATATCAGAAAAACTTCAAGGAAATCAAGTATGTCCCGTTAAAGGCCTAGGTTTGAAGGCCAACTGAAATGTGATGCATCTAGCTCTGTCTGTTGCTCTGCAAGCTTTTTCTTAACCAGTTAGGCTAACAAAAACTGAAGTCCGGCGTATGCAAAGTGCGATTTTTGGAGCCTACGAGTTTCGTTGAGAAATGAATCTAAAGAATATAGTTACAGGCAAAGTCCAAGGTTGACCTTTTTACTTGGACTTTCATCTACAATTAGTCGAAAACTTGACGAACTGTTTCCAAATTAAGATCACTTTACAAAGATAACCTTATTGACACAAAGTGATTCAAAAGAACACTGTTTAAAACACTATGAACATTTTAAAGTAACGTTCTATACATGTTAATCCGTTTTAAATCAGAAATAGGTCATTTTCCCTTTCATACGTTCGCCTTAAATTTTTTTTTTATCCGTAGCTAACTTTTTGACGTGAAAGTAGCGAACTTAGAGGTTCTCGTGATAATATTTTACATATTTTCCTGTCTTGTTTTTGATGTACTGCATGAGGTCAAATTTTTATGTCTGGGACATAATTAGCAGAGTTAAGTTTCCAGTTTCTTCAACCATTGTTTTTGTACACTTCAGAAATCATTGATTCGTTCAGAAGTCACGAAGTTCCAACCAAAATGTATATTAAGAATGATTACTTAATGCTTTATTTTATTCCTCGAGTTAAAAAGTCGTGTTTTAAGAAATTGGCATGGTGCATTTCTTAGTCACTGCTGTTTGTAATTTGAAGACTAAGTCCCAATGCAACCGAAAAAATGGGAGAAATCACTTCATGATCATGAACGCGTACATCTTCCTAATTACAAGAAAAACAGAAATGCTGACAGGCTCCACATTCACTCGGAACCTTTCCAAGAAAGCTCGTGCTCATCGCACGTACATAGGTCTGCAGCACGTGCAAAGATATTTCGAGAACTAATCTCTTTAATGACGATGATGATTTTAATTTTGTCGAGACAGCATCCGTATTTATCCTTGCAAACTAAACACGATAAATTTTCATGTGTTGCCTTTTCTAGCCCATAGAAAGATAATTATAAATAAAAAGCCGAGGCGCCCTTACATAGTGTTGGCTTATTTCAATTTATTTAAATGACATTTCTTCCAGACCTTCTAGTTTGAAATTCAAACTGTTTTCCTTTCTGTGTTATCCAGATACAGATCATCATTCCCTATATATTTTATCCGTAAAATACCTTAGTGTCTGAAGCAGAATTTATCAGAAATCGAATTTTCGGAAGGCGGAAAGGGGTGATTGAAAAGAGATCTTCACGATGCCTTTTGGAAGCAGTTTTCAAAATTTATCAGATACCGCGGCCAAGATCCTTCGAGTTTTAGCTATGCTGGTTTCAAGTATTTGAGTAAAGCACAACCTCCCTGTTTAAATTACAGGTTTGGAATTAATTTTTTGAAAACTTCGTGCAGACAACGACTTCAGATATTTAAATAAAGTGTTCACTTATTTAAAACAGTGCAGCTGCGAATACAGTTGGACTCCACTAATTTAAACTCGGTTGTTTCAAATTCCCCGTTATTTAGAACTCAAAATCATTTCTCTTGAATTTGCTCTTCAGTCATTGACTATGGTCTATTTCGAACTCTCGCTATTTCGAACTATTTTCCATTTCCCTGAGAGTTCGAAATAGAGGGATTCAACTGCCGATTAGAAATATAAAGTATTGAATCTAATACATTTGTGTGTGGCTTCACGGTGTGTGCGTGATCGTAGCCTTAAGAGCGTACCCATCCAACGTCAGCTTTTTTTCGTTTAGGTCACAGAAAGCTCGTTTAGGTAATCAATTTTTGTCTCATTGGCTAATTAGTATATATATATTATATTAGTAACTAAGTTAATGAATACAGCCGAATTAAAAATATATGGCAACTTTCGACCGTGGGCACGTAGACTATTGTATGTCTGGCCGCTCACAACTCGCTCAACCGCAGCCTGAGTAGGTACGAACCATGCGACAATACAATCAATTAAGAGGGTGGTTTTGCGCATTGCGGTTAAACTTGCGTCAAACGCTAGCTACGTAAATGAGCCGCCTAACGGAAAGTTCTGAAGGTAGCAACCCTCTTCACTTCTAGATTTAGCACAGAAACCTGAATTGGTACTTGAGGAAGTAGCTTAAGTGTACACTATATTTACATACGAGATGAGCTGTTTCTTGCATTAGATCAGTTTATTTCCCAGTTCCATGCAAGAAGTCTTTTTGGGGGGGGGGGGGGGGGGGGGGGTTGATTCCCCCTTTCTCAGTTGAGTAAGCGGCGCAACTTATTCCAGCAACCGTGATATTATAAAGACTCGCGTGGGTGGAAAGAGAGAATATATACAACTTTGGTTTGTAAGAAAATTCCGTCAACTTAATTTATATCTTCTTGTCAATTGTGAAAGGCAATCATAGTAGAATTAACACAGTACGTGTCCTTGGTATTTGTTATAATCGTTTGAATTGGTAAGCCGGGTACCGGCTACTAATATTGCCGAACAGAAATTCGTATTACTGAACCTTTATTGCGCAGTGTACTGTCAAACTAGTAATACAGGGAAAAAGTGATCATTTTAAAATCTCTTTAAATTCCACGGGGGATACCGTTTGTCAGTAGAGTTTGAAAACGGAGGGCAAGCATTTAAGAAATACCGCATATCCGAAATTAAAGTTTAGAAAAGTGATCTCAATGTGACTGGTTTGCAATAGCGACACATCCAGTGACCGCATTTCGCTCTCAAGTTTTCAAAATGACGGAACTTCGGGAGAAACTACTTCTTCTGAAGGCAGATAACTGAT